TTGTAATTGTGGCAAAACTTAGTTATCACCCGTTATATATATATATACATATATACATATATATATATATATATATATATATATATATATATATATATATATATATATATATATATATATATATTTGTATATTTGTATATTTATATATATATATATATATTTATATATATATATATTTATTTATATATATATATATATATATATATATATATATATATATATATATATATATATATATATATATATATATATATATATATATATATATATATATATTCAGTCATGTGCATGAAAATAGCAGTGGCACAAAAAATTATAAAAAAAACCTTATTAAATTTAATGATATGCATAATTTCGGACCGTAATTGTTAATTTTTCATAATTAAGTGTTATCTGACACTATTTAGTCTAAAAAAAGCTTTTAAACTTAAATGGACAATATCATACTACCATTTTTTTAAAAAAGGTACTTTTATCACATTTAATGAATGCAGATTTACCATTAAAAAAGTAAATAAAATATAACATTGATGAAAAACTATTTATTCATCTTTTGAAAATACATCTAATACTTAGTTTCATGACCCTTATTTTTCAATACTGCTTTACATCTTCGTGGCATTGACTCGATTAGATGACGACATCTTTCTAAGGGAATTGCTCTCCAAGCTGCTTCAACTGCTCTCCAGAGTTTCTCTTTATTGGCTGGTCTAGACAAAGATACTGCTCTTTAAACATCCCCCCACAGGTTTTCTATCGGGTTCAGGTCTGGGGATTGTGCTGGCCAGTTCATTACCTCGACCTTATTCTCTACAAACCAATTTTTAGCTTTACGAGAGGTGTGTTTAGGATCATTATCCTGCATAAAGATCCACTTCAAAGGCATTTCTTCTTTTGCATATGGTAACATGACTTCTTGCAGTATTTTAACATAAGCAGTTGCATCCATGATGTCTTTGATCCAAAAAATAGGGCCCAATCCAAACCAAGAAAAACAACCCCATGCCATCACCTGGCAGCCACCATGTTTTATTGTCTTGGTGGTATACTTTATATTATCTTCTGTTCGTGGGGGTCTTCGTACAAACTTTTCGTGAATACCTGGATTAAATAAAACAATTTTAGTCTCATCACTCCAAAGAATAATACGCCATTTCGATGATGGCCATTCTTGATGCTCTTTAGCAAATGCGATTCGATTTTTAATCTGTCTCTTATTAAGAAGTGGAGTTTTTCTGGGCCTTCTGGCTTTTAAATTGGCTTTTATCAAACGTCTTCTCACTGTCGAGGACGATATTGGTAAATTTAATTCCGTTTTTATGGCTGTGGAACTCATAAAAGGATTTATCTTCGCACATCTAATAATTTTACGGTTCGTTTTCAATGACGTTCTAAATTTTCACCCACGCAATTCCGCTTTTTGTGTCCATTTTTTGGCATTGGAAATCATTTTTGCAGAACATTGTAAAGCATCTTGGATGAAGTAAGTTTTACCATCTTTTAACATATTTAAAATTATTTGACGCTTCTCATTGGAACAATGTTTTGCTCTACCCATTTTAACTGTAATAAAATTGTGAAACTTAATAAAATATCGTTTAATTTTAATGAACAAACACTTACCTTAATGTATAAAAAAAATTGATTGTAAAAACAACTTTTAAGGCACTAATAGAAAATAAAGTGTATATTCACTGCTATTATAACGCACAGTTAATAAAGCAAAATTTTATAATTTAATTTAAATTCTGATACATGTATGTATAAACAGCAATATTGCCAACCTCTTTATATTTAAAAACCCTAACAGAAAATATTTAGAGAATAAAATATACAAAATTAACCATCAGTAAAAAAATTAAATGTATTTTATAAATAATTTTCTCCCACTGCTATTTTGATGCACATGACTGTATATATATATATATATATATATATATATATATATATATATATATATATATATATATATATATATATATATATATATATATATATATATATATATATATATATATATATATATATATATAAATATATATATATATATATATATATATATATATAAAAATATATATATATATATATATATATATATATATATATATGTATATATATATATATATATATATATATATATATATATTTATATATATATATATATATATATATATATATATATATATATATATATATATATTTAAATTGGTACACAATTCAACGGTCTTTGATAAGTTCAAAAATTTGCGGACAAAGCATTATTTTTGAAAATAGTTATAATATTTCAACGTCACATTAGTATTTTGTAGGATATCCTTTACAATCAAGAATAGCTTTGCATCTATAAGGCATAGAATCAACTAAATTTATGCAAACGTCAATGGGTATTAAGTCCCATTATTCTTTGATTTTATTAATCAAATCAGCATAATTTGTAGTTAGTAATTTGTTTGCTTAATTCCTTTCATTTGACGGTCAACATATTCCCATAGATGTTCAATGGGATTTAAGTAAGGTTATTGGGATGGCCACTTCAAAACATTAACTTTACTCTCTTTAAAAAACTCTAAAACCGATTTAGCTGTATGTTTGGGATCGTTTTCCTGTTGGTAAATCCATCCTCAAAGCATTTTATCCTTTGGATATGGTAACATAATAGTCTTACATATATATTTGTACTTTTCTTGATTCATATTATCGGTAATTCTATGGAGAGGACCAACTCCATTTCGACTAAAACATCCCCAAACCATTACCTCCTCCATGTTTTACGGTAGGCAGTTGGCATTTAGGATTGTACCTAGTACCTACTGGACGTCGAACATACCTGATTCCATCGGATCCAAACAACATAAATTTCCTTTCGTCACTAAAAAGAATTTTTGACCGTTTTTGACTACTCCACTTTAGATGTTTTGATGCAAATTCCATTCGGGCGTTACGGTTTTTCAAGGAAACTAATGATTTTTTAGTTGGGCGTCTTCCAAACAAATAAGCGTAACGTAAACGACGTTTTATAGTAGAAATACTACAATTCATTCCATAGAAACGTCTCATTTGAACGTTAAAATCGACAGCTGTCAAACGGGGATTTTCTTTGCTTTGTATTACAAGCTTTTTATCCTGATAACGCGTAGTTTTGCGTGGCCTTCCTGATTGATTTTTATTCTTTGTAGATCTAGTAAGCTCAAATCTCTTCTTAATTTGTCCAACAGCAGACTTCCCAACTCCCTAAAGCTGTGCTGTTTTACGAAACGAGTTTCCATTTTGAACTGATCTCGAGATCAATTTTTTTACTGGAGATGAAATACATTTCTTAGATCCCATGATCTCAATCACTTATATATAAAGTTTTGAAATAATTTCCTCAAATTATTTTTTTATAAAATCAACAAATTTGCTATTTTGTGATCAAAATGTTAAAAGCGTTAGTTTGTCCGCAAACTTTTGAACTTATCAAAAATCGCCATTTTGTTAACCAATTTTAAAATGATAATTAAATATTGATTATTTGCTCAAAACATAATTGTTAACTTGGAAACCTTTTAATTGGAATTAAATATGTTGGCTTAAGTGAAATATGTGCTAAAATTCAAGTAAAATTCCTTATTTTTTTGCCTGTCCGCAAACTTTGGGACGCTACTATATATAAATATATATATATATATATATATATATATATATATATATATATATATATATATATATATATATATATATATTTATATATATATATATATATATATATATATATATATATATATATATATATATATATATATATATATATATATATATATATATACATACATACACATTAATAGATATCCAAACATGTATGAATATGTGTATGTATATGCATGTGTGTATATATTTGTATATATAAGCGTATATATGTGTTTGTGTGTCTGTATATATATATATATATATATATATATATATATATATACACATATTCATATATATCTATATCTATACATTTTTATATATATATATATATATATATATATATATATATATATATATATATATATATACATTAATAGATATCCAAACATATGTATGAATGTGTGTATGTATATGCATGTGTGTATATAATTGTATATTTTAGCGTATATATGTGTTTGTGTGTCTGTATATATATATATATATATATATATATATATATATATATATATATATATATACATATTCATATATATCTATATCTATACATTTTTAGATATATATATATATATATATATATATATACACATTATTAGATATCCAAACATATGTATGAATTTGTGTATGTATATGCATGTGTGTATATATTTGTATATATAAGCTTATATATGTGTTTGTGTGTCTGTATATGCATGTGTTTATATATGTGTATTTTTATGTTAATGGTTTATATGTGCTCTTCGTAAGTTTAGTCTATGCGTTGATATGGCTGTGCATGTGCTGCTAGTGTATGAATATTTATTAGCAACCTACTTTCCTAAAGTCGTGCATTCTACTAAATTAGTTACAAAAAATACAGACGAATGTCTTGGTGTCTCCTTAATATTAACGAGACACGAAGAATACTCTAAAATATTAATAACTCTATTTTTTTGCTATTTATTGCATGATTATTTTTTTTTAAATGAAAAGTTTTAAATTTAGAAGTCCTTTTTTTAACTAAATATTATAAAAGAGCTAGCTGTCATGACCCGTAAAATACGGGTCTTTAGGATATTGATGCACACTTTATCCGCTTGCTTACAGTTCATAAGAACTATTATCCGGTTTATAACGCAAGAAAATCTCAATCAAATGAAAACATCTAAATGAAAATTTTAATGTCCTAGATACGAAGATTAAACTTATTGATTGCGTAAACACTAACTTTAACATATTTAGTAATAGTTTTTTTTAAATAAATAATGAAAATTTACATTACCTTTATTGCTATGTTAGTTTACACAGTTTTAAATTGTCAATTTTTAAAGTCTTTTTTACTGTAATTTCATTTTAAAACACTTCCATGAAAAACTATGTAGAACTTTTAAAAATGATGCTATCAAGCTAATTTTTGTTTTATTTTGTGACTTATTCCTGACTCTATGCAACTGTATCAGTAACTCAGAAGATTGGTACTTTTTACTGTAAGGCACCCATATGTTAAATAAAAAAGTCATAAACGCCTTTATTGTTTAAAATCATTTCCAACATTGGCAAAATTTATCTTAGGAAGGGTAAAGAAAAACAACAGTGCTTATTGTAAAATTTTATTTTATTTATTTGTATATATTTTGTATAATCAATTATAATTATAATTATACGTAACACCCCCCCCCCTCCCATTTCTTTTTCTTCTCCCCCAACGAAAAGAGGGGAGATCTGCCCCATTATTTGAGACCCATATCCTATGGGCCCTGTAGGATATGGGTCCTGGTTGACTCCTCCTGTAGGCTATAAAAGCCTCATATGACAAATCTAAAATGATAAAAGTAACAAAATGAATCTTATACAATATTAAATAAACAAATTTGAATCTTATACATTATTATAAAAATAAAAAAGAAATTAGGAATTTAAAAAAATAAGTAAACATCACATTTTACAGTTACATAATAATAACACAGTATTCATTCGAATGAAATACAAAACTAAAAATTAACTTACCAGCAGCAGCTGCACTTGTAGCAGATGATGACGAAGATGCTGTTGTTGTTGTTGTTGTTATTGTTGCTGATAAAGTATGAAAAAAATTAACTAAATAAAATATTAACAATAATTAATAATTATTCTAGTTGTAATATAAAAAAAGCTGTTTATTTACCAGGAGTTGTGGCAGCTGCTGCCATTGACAATGATGGTGTTCGGGCTATATATAATCAAAAAATATATGATTTCATAATACATAAGAAACTTTACAATAAAAAAAGCTAAATTCTTTTATATGTTTAAATAAAACAATATGTTTACATAATATGGTGATGTGTATACCACCACCATATGTATGCATATAATCAATTATTTTTTGGAAAGAACCAATTTATAAATTTATAAAGTTAAAGGTATTTTCATACAGGATTGCTCCTCCATCTTCTTTAAAAAATTATTAACTAAAGAGAAAAAACAATTTTATTAACATTTTCTATGTAAAGTGATATTTTAAAAAATTAAATAAAACATGAGTATTACAGTAACAAATAAAAAGTTTAATAATCAATACAATCTAAAATCTTACACATTTCTTCCATAGATTGCACTAAAATAACATGAGCTATTGATTATGACACAATCAAAAATAATGCAATAAAATTATAAACTTAATCAGTAATAAATTTAAAAAAAATTTAAAAATCAAAACTTACAAAATATTTGTTGAAAGTTCACTACAAAAAAAAAAAAAAATACTTATACTAATACATTTTATGTCTTTAAAAATTTAAAACAATAAATTTCAAGTAAATAGAAAACTAACTGTAAATAAAACTAACTGTAATAAAAAATTGTAAATAAAACTAACTGTAATAAAAACTAACTGTAATAAAAAACTAACTGTAATAAAAAATTGAGTTTTTTTTACCTGATTGTGGTTGTTGTTGTACTAAAAAAATTAACACAGATTTAAAAAAATACAATAGTAAAGAAAAAGAAAAAACAAATTATTAAGAACTTTTTAAAGAAAGATTTACATTCAATAAAACAAAAGGTTTTTTCTTACCATATTGTAATTGTTGTGTTTCTAGTTAAAATATAAAAAAAGATAAAAAGTAATAATTAAGTATTAGAAAAACAATTTGATATCAACAGCACAACAAATAAAAATAGGTTTTTTATAAAAAAAAGATTATTGAAAAACGTATAAAATTAATTTCTTACCAGGTTGTTGTTTGCACTACAAATTAGTATTAAAAAATAAACACGCATAATATTTTTTTTTTAATAGAAATCTTTTTTAAAATTTTTTTAAAAAGAGACTTTAAATACATTGGATTTTTTTTTTGCCTGATTGTAGTTGTTGTTGCGGTTCTAGAAAAAATATAAATACAGATTAAAAAAAATACATTAGTAAAGGAAAGAAAACGACAAAATGTTAGGAAATTTTAAAAAAAAAGATATAAATAAATTGAAACAAAAGGTTTCCTTCTTACCAGAATGTGGTTGTTGTTGAGCATCTGCTTAAAAAAAAAAACAGATTAAATAATTAAGTAAAAGAGAAAAAATATTATCAATGGCACAACAAATACATAATAGGTTTTTTGTAGGTTTAAGGGGCTATAAAAAAGTATATAAAAAATTCTTACTTTGTTGTGGTTGCACCACTAAATAAAAATATGTTCAGTATTAAAAATAAAAAAAAATGCAGACAACTTAAAAAAATGTGGTTTAACTAAAAGCAAAGAGTAAAGTATATGGAAAGCAAATAAACGAAAAAACTTAACAAATAAATAAAAACAAAATTGGCGACCTAATGAACAAATAAAGACGACTAAAATTGAATTACTGAACAAATAAAATAATAGCGACTTACTAAACATCAAATCATCATCTAAAGCTTCTAAATATTTAAAAAGAGGTCAATAAGCAATTTAAAAAAAAATTAACTAAAGAAAAAAAAAAAAAAATGCTACCTGACATGATTTATTTTCAAATTTATTAATCTAAAAGAATATCAAACAATGTAATAATCTAAAAATAATAATATGATAATGTTACTATCAATGTAATAAATCTAAATCCAAAAGTCAAGGATTTAAGAGATGAAAGAAAAAATTTGTAAAAAATTCTTTTTTTAAGCCTTAAATTTTATCCTTTTTTAAGTATTTAACTAAGCATTTAACTAAGCCTCGTGGTGATTAAAACCGCGTGGAAGAAAAACTCGATTGGCATTTTGTTTAAAAAACCTAGGTTGGCACTTTGTACCACAGCGATATTTATCATATACAAAAAACCTGAATTTCTGTTTTTGTATATTTGATCAACAAAGTTTTTTCTCAAAAAGACTTGGAATATGTCAAGAAAGTTGGAAACTAAGTGTTAAAAGACTTCACGAAAAAACAAAATTTTGAAATTTGTGAACGATTTTTTTTCTCTCGTTAGCGAAGTTGGTTCTGTGTCAAAATGCGAGGATCAAACTTTTGATTAATATCTTTACATATGTTGTCTATATACAATATCTATAAAACTTTATAAGTATTTGAATTAGTATTTAAAAAAGTCTTAAAAAAAATTAAAACAGTAGTCGCCAACGGTAGGACTCGAACCACGGCAGCGATGTTTCGAAGCCCAGCGCGCTAACCACTCTACTACGCCGTCACGTAGTGTCTTGAAGATTTCAAATTATATAAAAATTGTTTTTTAACGGATAAAACACAAAAGATTAGAAATTAAGCAAAGGTTGACGAAATGCAGTTCTTAAGTGAAAATCAAACTGTTGAACTTGATATATGTTTAAGCATGTTTTAACATTACATAACATGAAGTTTATGTACGTACAATATGAGTTTCACGTTTGCTCGCGTTTTCTTATAAAGCAAAGGTAAGACTCTTTCTAAAGGTAAGACTTCTTTCTTTTTCTCTTTTCTTTCGTCACTACCTCGGATGCAATGGTTGCCAAGAGTATCGTGTCAAACAGGCTCGAAAGCGCACTACTACTACTATTAAGTCCAGTAATATTATAAAGAGATTAACAATTTTTTAATAATTATATGATTGTAAAATTAGCTTATTTCAAAGTTTGGGTTATGATATTTGTAATAACTTTTCTTTTTCTGAAATGTTTTAAAGCAGGTCCATAAAGTTCATTTGCAAGTTTGTCAGTCCATTCTAATTATTTTGTCTTGTCTTTTTTACAAACTATGTTTGCATAAGAACTACTGATCGTTGGTAGTTTTTTGACTTGTAATTTTAACACCTCTATAATCTTTGCTTTAGTTAATATAATGTTTTTTATAATACCTCGTTTAATTCTTTTACGCATTAATGGATTGTTTATAGCATCAATCATCATTTTAACAGCTTCATTTCTTCTTGCAGTATCTGGAAAATATTAATAAGCAAGATCATGATGGAAAACTGCTATTTCAACTCTATCCACAGGCTTACTCCAATCTTTATATTTCCCAGTTGAAATTAATCTTTCATCTATCTATTAGTACCAATGCCTGCAAAAATCATACCAGTTAAACGCATTTCACCCGGGAACTTGGACCATGGTAATTTTATATTACTTGTTACTGAATTAATTGAACTCACTAAATCACCTCTTGTTTTTGCTAATCTTTTTGCAAATTGAGTTTTTGTTGTACTACAAATTGTACAAGTCCCACGTAGCATATTTCTATTGTTTTTTCTCATAGTAGAACTTAAATTTAGTGTATCTGTTTTGTTTCTACATTTTAACGCAGACCATTTTTATACATATATATTTATTTTAAATAAAAATCTTTTCTATATAATAATGTCATATGTAAAGATTGAAGATTTCGTTGAGTCAAGATTATATGTTGATCAAATATATAAATTTAATAAACCTGTTAATGGTTTATTAGATTTATATATTTGATATGTTAGATTTATATATTTGATATGTTAACTAAATGTGATTTAACTTAAAGATAATCAAGAATATGAAATGGCTTTAGTCAAATTAGAAACTATTCACTACGATTTAAATACTATTCAATGTAATACTACTAAATACTACTAAATACATGTAAAATATAGTCTTATAGACGGAATAAATATAAATGGTTTTAAAAGCAATTATATATATTCATTTTTACGAAGTGTTCGTTCTGGAATAAATATTTTTGAACAACCAAAAAACTTAATTTATTAGCCAAGAACAAATAAGAAAGTTCTAGAAATGAGAACTAAATTAGTTGTCGATGAAGGTAAATTAGTAGATTTACGAGGACTTCTAAACCATGTTCACTAGTTATTGTAATATCTATCAATTCATGACAAAGCACTACCTCACACTGTTGGCAACCTATAATATAAATTATTAACTCTTTAGCTGCTAGATAATATTAAAAGATGTTTCTAAAAATTCAAATAAAGAAACCGGAAATTATATAACAATAAGAGATATACAAGAAAATTTTTTATTAATAAAAATAAAATTTATCGAAAGTTATATATATAACTAATGATGTTATATAATAGCATATTAAATAGAACAATTTAAAAAAATCAAAATGAAGTTGTAACAAATCCAACGTTATGTTTATATAAAACATGCTTTTATAAAAAGATATTTTTATATAAAACTATATTTTATATAAAACTAAATGTTTATATACAACAAAATGTTTATATACAACAATATGTTTATTTGCAACTATATGTTTATATACAATAACATGTTTATAATATAAACATATATTTGTAAATAAACTTATAGTTATATATAAATATATAGCTGTATTTGAACATATAGTTCTTTGTCAACATATATTTGTGTATATATTTGTGTATAAACTTTATATTCAACTATATTTTTACATACAACTACATGTTCATATATAACTGTATGTTTATATATAATTATAAGTTTTTGTACAATTATATGATTATATACAACTATATGTTTATAAAGTATAGGTTATAATTTAACAACATAAAATTATATAAATAAACTTGTTTCTTTCTCAAAATGACTTGCATTATTACTACTAATATTTTTTTCGCTAGTAAAGTTTTCTTCATGCTTGTAAGTGTCTTCGCTATTACTTAATTTCACATAAAAACATATACAAATGATATATCAAAAGAAAGAAAAAAATATCCACAACTCAGTGGTACCATATCCATTTTACAAACCATAATATTTTTTTGTTAAAAGTCATTGTTTTGAAGATATGTGTATATATATATATATATATATATATATATATATATATATATATATATATATATATATATGTATATATATACATATATATATATATATATATATATATACATATATATATATATATATATATATATATATATATATATATATATATATATATATATATATATATATATACATACACACATATATATATATATATATATATATATATATACATACACACATATATATATATATATATATATATATATATATACATATACATTGTTTGTGTCATTGTTTTGAAGATATGTGTATATATATATATATATATATATATATATATATATATATATGTATATATATACATATATATATATACATATATATATATATATATATATATATATATATATATATATATATATATATACATATATATATATATATATATATATATATATATATATATATACATACACACATATATATATATATATATATATATATATATATATATATATATATATATATACATATACATATATATATATATATATATATATATATATATATATATATATATATATATATATACATATATATATATATATATATATATATATATATATATATATATATATATATATCACGGTTGGCCAAAGAGACCGCCAGGTTTTTTGTCGTGTCACGTTTTCAAAATCCGAAAAAAGAGTCACAAATGATGCAAAAAAATAAATTGAAGGGCCCGATGCCCATTCGACCATTTTAGACGCCCATTACAAAAAATATATAAATTAATTAAGAATATGTGTCTTATAAAAATAGAATATAAAGTTTTTAAACTATAAAAGTCGGGACAAAGTCCGGAGGATCACAAAGGACACAAAAAAATAAAATTGAGGGGCCCTACCCCCATTGAAGCATTTTAGACGCCCATTATAAAAAAAATTGTTAACTTATGATATTTGTCTTATACAAAATGAAATAAGTGTTTTGAAATCAAAACAAAGAACTAAGATTCACAAATAAAGCAAAAAGGTAAAATTGATGGGGCTTTAAGTCCACTTAAACATTTTAGATGCCTGTTACAAATAAAGACCTTTACTAATATTAATATTTACAATATTAATTTATATTTGTTACACAATCCAAATATACATTTCAAAGTTAAAGATAAAGCAACATTTCAAATTTAAATATAAATTAAAGTCTTCTTTTATTGAAATTTATTACAGAGGATAACAGTTGTTCTCCATGTTGAGCATGGTCTTCTGCACGTTTATATCTAATCCAGGTAGGTTTAAATTTAGAATGAATAGCCTCTCCACACTGTTCAGCAAACTTAGCTAGACCACAGTTATGGTGTTCGACAAAGGGTTGAACATGACACAGCAAGATGTGAAACTTCTAGCTTAAAGAACATTTTTTCCTTAGAGCTTGTGCAAGCTCTTGGGTAGAATTTTTAAACACAGTAAATGCCATTTTATACTCTGTCAAAACAATTTGACCAAAACAGGAATATTTCACTCTTTCAAAGTCTTTCAAACACTGAATTATAGGTCTCAGTTGAGGAACCTGAGATGCTACTACTTTATCAAGTTCATCCAGGTTTTCAGGATCTTGTTAGAATTATTTCCGTCCCAACCTCTACCTTGATACCCTCTCTGATAAACACTTTTAGTTTTCAGATGATCCTTTTTGAAAATTATAATCAAAAACATTGATTATAATTTTCAAAAAGGATCCTCCACTATCCACAGAAGTTCTTACAAATGC